TAACATTAATATTAATGTTAATGTTTTTCATTAATCATTAATATTAACGGTTAATGTTTTCCTTTAAAAACTTAATTCATTAATATTAATGATTAATGAAAACATTAACATTAATATTAATGTTAATGTTTTTTCATTAATCATTAATATTAATGTTAATGTTTTCATTAATCATTAATATTAATGAATTAAGTTTTTAGAGGAAAACATTAACCATTAATATTAATGATTAATGAAAAACATTAACATTAATATTAATGGTTAATGAAATACATTAATTAATGTCATTAATTAAGTCCCGTTAAATTAAATGGTCCACCCCTATGGGTAGCCGTTGTTTCTAATTTGATGTGTAGAGAGAATCAATGCTTGAAAAGTTTCAAAATCTATAGTTTGTGATCAATTCAAATTTCATTTAGACAAAACAAAGTGCACCCTAGAAAAAATGTGTATTGCAAAGCTTAAAAAATCTTGGGCAGATGTACGAAACATAAAAATGTTCTTCTTGCAGACACAAACTCGAAAACTTCTGTGTGAAATCTTTTCATGCTCTATGGAACTGTAAAAAGTTTCGCACAGAAGTTTTCGAGTTTGTGTCTCGAGAACAAAGTTTTACGGTTTTGTGCATTTACTGAACCTCTTTTAAGTTCGTTAATACACCTTTCTCAGAATGTAGCAGGCAAAAGTTTCAAGTATCTTTTGCTTTTTCGATTTTCTCCATGAAAAAATGACTTTTAACATCAAAATAGCGATTTCAATTGCTCTTGGAACGAGCTACAGAATTTCAGATATTGAAAACATCTAAGATGAACTATATTGATTTTTAGTAATAGAAACTAACAAGGGAAGAAGCTATTTCCCATTGCAGAAATTGTTTTTTGTTCAGTGGACAGAAGTCTGAGGCATTACTCACTTTTCAGACAATTAATTATCATTTCTCAATTAATTTTCTTCATATTGACATGATAGGTAGAAATTCAAAATGTCATCTATGACGAAGATTAAACATTTGTCTAATAATGTTTATACATGATCGAAAAAAAATGGGCGCTTTGTCACATCTAAACATGCCAGAAAAAGTAAGCGTAGAAGTTTTAACAGGGCTTGCTCAGTTACAAATGTTTATATAACTCAATCACACTTCATCTGATTCAATTAGTAGAATAGTTTTCTAGATGCGAAAACAATAAAACAATAATTTTGAACGCATAGAAGCTTCACACTTTAAATATTTGAGGTATAAGACGTTGATCTAGATGCTTCTACAAAATGAAATGGCGCCATTTATCGATACATTTACCTTTAGGATTTAAACGAGAGGTTCATTAGAATTTGTTTTAACACTAATGCATTTTTTCAAAGGTTGAACTAAGAATCCACGAACATCTTATAGAGTCGGCCATACTTTATTTTGTGAGGAGTTATACGATCAAAATTAAATTGTCACGAAAACAGCAGATAATTAAATACTTTCATTTTTAGTTACTCACCGGATTCAGAACACATCATGTCGCAAATTATATCTTATAATCGTTTATTTCGCTTTGCGTTCATACTTGATACTTATCATAACGCGTAAGAAACGTCTTACCCATGGAGTCAAAACATCAAAAGAATTTCACGACTTTCGTGTATTTTATATCAAAAACACGAAGAAAATGGCATTTCTAATGATGAAACGGACAAAAGAATGGATGTTTTTCAAATTCATTGATGAAAAGGGACATTTTAATTAAGCAAATGTAGTGAATTTCATTTTTAATCAAAATCATGCAATGAAATCAATTAAAATCTCTATTTTAATCGATGAATTTCAAATACATCAATTTTTTTGCCCGTTTCGTCATTTTAATGCCATTTTTTTTTACTTTTTCACTCCCTGGGTACCTTCCATTACACTGCTAATTATAACCATTTTTCTTTCGTTTCCTCTTTCATCTATATCGCCTATATCATAACTTGATACGAAATGAAAATTATTGTCACTTTCTTTTACTTTCAGAAGTTTTAAACTACACTAACAATATTATCTTTTTCGAGAAACTGATTGATCTTTTTTCTTAGACAACAAAAATTTCCACTAATGTCAGCATTAGACGGTGTGTTTAACAATACTAATGGTCTTAAACAAAGTGAAATAGACGAAATCAATAAGTCATTCCGTCAATTTGATTTAAATAATAATGGTTATATAACTCGTGATGAATTAAAACAGTGTTTAAGAGGTGCAAATGTAATTGCATTGGATGCTGTTGTTGATTCCGTAATAAAACAAATGGATTGGAACCACGATGGTAGAATAAGTTATGGTGAATATATAAAATTTATGGCAACAATTTATCGTGGTGAACATAATGATTTGAAACGACAGTTAGGTAGTGCTAGTGATCATGTTGGGTCTGTTTCAGGAGGATCATATTAGATGTGATTGGCTGTACTCACTGAAACACCACGATTACAAAAACACTATGTGACTGGATAAGTTCAGTTCCATTTGAAACTTCTTCCTTCCCACTAATATACTTTGTGATAAACTTCGATTGTATACCAATGTGTGCGTGTAGTTGTGAGTTTGCGGGTATGGATGTGAGTGTCTGTGGATTATGAATGTGGGTGTAGATGTAATTAAATAAAAAAGGCGAATTAACAATGAAATAAGCAAAAGAAAACAAGAACAAGGGTGGGTGAGGTGGGGTGGGTGTGGGTGTGGGTGTGTGTGGGTGTGGGTGGGTGTGTGGATGTGGGTGGGTGTGGGTGTTAGTGTGAGTATTCATTTACACCCACACCCATCCACACCGACATCCACACCCACACATCCACCCACACCATTGTGAGGGATACATTCCAAAATTGCGCAATGTTTACGCTACCATTTTGAATTTCATCCTAGGCGGCGACGCGATGATAACTTTTTCTGTGCCCGTAATAGTGTTCGTTTCTTTTCAATGCTTACATGACAGATAATATACCATCAGTTTATTTTTGCTCTTTTTCTTCTTATTCTATAGTCTCTCATATGATGTGCGTCAAAATCATATTATTCATTGGAAGTAGCTTTTATGAATACTGATTCTTGTTTCAGTTGCAATTTCATTTTTTATATCTGAACGCATACGAATGGATGCTACCATCCTTGATTTTCAGCCGCTTTCTATACTGCACGATGCTGAAAACTTTATGGAAAGTTTTACTTTGTACAGTCACGACTGTTTGGAAGCTAGTAAAGCGTGTAGATTTTTTGAACAGTTCAGCTTTGTGGTCATTGCGAATGTTTTTACTGCTGAAAAATGCACAAATTCAATCTCCGATACTTGAGATGTTATCGAATGTCTTCTAGAAAAAGCTCTGCGTCACGATGAAAAACTTTGGACTTCAGAGTATGCTGTCTCGAACTGTTTTGATCTCTCTCCTGTTGAATTTATGCTATTAGATTAGATTCTGCAGAAGGATTAGCATTACAAATGAAGGAATAGTTGCCTCTGCTAGCATTTGCACTCGAAAAATTTTGTTGAATCATCAGACTCCAGGGTGTGGGTGTGGATGAGACGTGAGTGTGGGCGTACTTGTGAATGTGTTACAAGAGAAGACTCACACCCACACACAACTACACTCACACCCAACTCTGAAAAATAGGCATATTTTAACATAAAAGCAGTAATTGAAAATCCAATTTTTCGAAAAATTAATTAATTCACGTTGCCCATCCTTACAGATAAGGTCAACATTGTAGTTTGAAGTGTATCTTCCTTTGAAACACACCCTGCATAAGAACTTTGGTTGAGAAAAAGATTTATTCACTTCCTTTACCAACTCATACACAATTCTGTTACACTTTTCTTTATTTCCTTTCTCTCATTAGTTTGAAGAAAGCAAACGTATTAAAACATCGCACAACTTATCTTACTTCTGTATGTCGTTAAACATTCGTTGTCTAAAGGAGAAAAAAACAAAACATAGGTATCATGGGAAACGATAATTGGTCTTCAAGAGAAAAAAATCCGCGCCACAACGACTTGGTGTGCTAACGTGAATCGAAAAGATTTGTGAGTCATTTTTAACTAATGGATGTGATATTTGACGCGTTGCATTCCTGAGTCAGTCTTTCAGTTCGATCCATTTATGAGAAAAATTGTTCTGAAAGAGTGTTGGTGCCCCATAGTAAAAATGTAGCTTAAGAGAAAACTCATGCCTACACCGACACTTAACACTCACCCCTCTCTCCCACAACATACAAAATATACTGCGCCATGCATAGTAATTACAGTCTCCCCGAAAGGAGTGCAGTATAGTGTGTGTCATACAGAAAGATTAACCTAGATCTCTTCAAATGACTATTGCAGTTAAGCGGAAATGATTTTGGAAGAAAAGAAAAAAATGCAATTCTATTCAAACAGAGTAGGTTGTAGATCAAGTACCATTTCATGATTGAATTAACT